CGTTGTAACACTGAAGCGAGCTCGTGCAGTTGTTTTCTGCTTTTGGTTAAGTCCTGTTTTGGGCATTTTCATGTTCTTGGTCTGGGATACAAACATCGCCTTGGTAGCAATTTCAGTCTCGGTAATGCTTTGTATCGTTACCTCACTTCTTTCTTACACCATCATATTTATCAAGCTGCGTCTACATCAAGCCACTGTGCACCCTACTGTGCACCCTACTGTGCAATGCAATGTCCACCATGCCGGGCAACCAATCGGAGGGGGAATTCCGGCGTTGAACATAGCAAAGTTTAAAAAAACCGTTACCAGCATAGCTTTGGTGCAGTCGGCGTTAGTTGTATGCTATATTCCGTTTGTTATTTTAAATGCGATATTTCTGTTAAATAGCGTTCTTGCCAACAGTGAGGTTTTCTACATGGCCGCCAATCTTGTATATTCCGAACTCTCGTCTACTTAAACTCATCTCTTAACCCGTTCCTGTACTGTTGGAGGATCAAAGAAGTGAGGCAAGCCGTAAAGGCCACAATCAAACAGTTGTATTGTAATTGTTTACGCTGAGTTCCAAACCTCGGCGACCGATCTATGGAGAAACAGTCTGATTGTAAAATCGCTTTTCAATCGAACGAGTATATTTTAAAAGGACTTACTAGGGATATTAGCAGATAACATGGTACACAAGATCGGTTGTTTCATCTTTTATGGAATTGATTTCAGGAAATGCGAGCTTTCTAGTAGATGTAAGCTTACAGTACATTGTCGATATGTACCTTATAATACATGTAAATAACTCCCCGATATAACTTGGGAATAAAACTGATTATGACTGGATTAATGTTGGGGGTTGGTTGCACGCGCAACTCGCTGGCTAAGCGAAGAGGTACCGTGTCTTGCCACGCTGAGCAAATAAACAGATGTCTCTGCTTTATCTTGCTATTTATGAGTCGACTTAAATGGGATAAACCCACTTAGTAGCCAAGCTGATGGTGAGCATTTTAATAGGTTTCTCCAGTTTGGGAAGTGTAATTACATTCTTTTTAAAACAGCGACGCCAATAGTCTTCAAAATTTTCCCTTTAAGTTGGTGAAATTTGTTTTCTCAAAAAAATTAAGATCCATTTTTAAAGCCCATGGCTTTAGGGAAACTTCTGAATGCTTCGGTATCGTGAGTCGATTTCTTTATTAATTTTTTGAAATTAAATAAAGAAATAGCTTTCTTATTCTCCCGTGTATTGCGGTGTTCTCTTTTCTTTGAATACACGAAGTCCTTCCAAACGATCCATTGTCGGTATTACCTGCGGAAACAAATGTTCAGCCTCAAGGAACTACGAGGTTTTGTTCGTATTGGCGGCCCTCTTTTTTAAATTTTGTTCCCTTTTTTTCGTTATGTGTCAAAATGTCAAGCGTAGACTTGTCGTTAGGTCGAATGATGAGCGTCGTCATTCTACTATGATTTTCAGCGAGAATGTCGCAGTGACGGAGATAAGTAAGCAAATAATAGAAGCTTTATCAGTTTGCGATCGGAAGAGAGCTTAACCTCTTTTAATAAAACGAATCTCGTTAACTTTCTGGTGAAAAAACAAAAACAAAACAAAACAAAAATTAGTGAAGCTTTCCGGGATGAACATTTTTTTTGAGGATACGCGAACAAACTATCAGTTTAATCTTGTCTTCGTCCTAAAATTTAAAGGTTTTAACTCTGCATAAGGGTTACGTAATGGGAAACGGAGGAAGTAGCAAATAATCACAGGTAGCCCAAGCTCATGAAAGAAAATCGTTGTTACGTAACAGAACTATTATATGGGTTTGTATGGGGATTTTAGCGATCGTTATTTAGGACACTAAAATAGAAATGAAAATACATCAAAACTTCTTACCTTGCCTCCCTGTTTTATTCATAGTGTGTTCTTAGCATCGCATACAGAGAGCGGGTGAACAACGGCAGAACTAAAACTCGCTAGAATCGCGCTGAAATGGCCAGAAATGCTAGGAACATACATGAATAAAACAAGCAGGCAAGGTAAAAAGTTTTGATGTATTTTTATTTTTATTTTAGTGCCCTGAATAACTATCGCTAAAATCCCCGTACCAACCTTTACAATATTTCTGATTTCTATTGCGCAACAACGACTCTCACTCCGGAGCTTGGGGTACCTCTGGCGTAACTAGTCGTAAATTGCATGTGGTGCGGGGTTACATCAAGCTGTATTTTAATTTTCGATTTTAGCTGCAGCTAATCTACGTGGGTTCATTAACCATTCTAAAATTTTTTATCTGCCTTCAAGCCAATGACTGAATGATTTTGTAATCGTCTGCCTTGTGATAGAAAATTAATTGTCTTTTCAGCGCCTTATCATGACGTGAAATAGCACTGCTACTGATGTGTTAGAAATCTCACAGCAAACACAAGACAAAATAAATTTTTGCACTTCCATAACTGCGGCAAAAATAACTTAAATTTCTTTTGTATTTTACCACTAATTATTATATAGACACGAGTGTTTTACTGGAAAATATACCACTCGTAAAATTCATAAAAACTACATCCGGGACCCGAGTGGTTTATTTTCCATAATCTCACACGTGAGTTTATCGATGACGTAATTTCGGCAATTTCCCTCAATTATTTTATCGAGGTCTTTTTGTCTATATAATAAAAAGAACATTACACGGCGGCTTGAAGATATGAATTTTATTTTCTCGTGGCAAAAACAATATTTACTCACTCGCTGCACTCGTTCGTAAAATATTGTTTTGCCACTCTATAATAAAATTCATATCTTCGCGCCACCGTGTAATATCCTCTATTTATAAAACTGTTTCATTGAAAATGCAAGTGTTCGTGGTCTTTACATATTTATCGATATATATTTATTCATGACTGAACTTCCAGGTGATTCCTATTGTTTCATTTCCCCGAGCCTTGGGGTGACGTGTGAATTATTGCAGTGGTCTGTCTAACGACCTGGTTCCCAGAGTCCTTACTGACTTGACTTTCTCGGTCAAACGAGAACGAGGTTGATTGAGTATTCTAATCCTAAGCTCATTAATAATTCATGACAAGAAAACAAAAACAAGGAAATCATTACCGTAACGGAGGTTGGAAAATATTAATTACCACAAAATTTTGGGAACTTTTATTGCTTTGAATTTCTTCAAGAATCATTGTTCATTGAGAAACTGTATCAAATAGAACATTTACTGTTTTATCTGATATCCAGACGCCTTTACGTCGCTCCTTTCTTGAAGGATGTTCGGCTCAGCATAGTCCCTAGCTGAGAATTTAGGACATGATCACACAGAATGTATTTGCTTGATATTTCATCAACTTCTCCCCACTACTTCTATAGTAAATGAATAGGGGCGACGAAGGAGAATTTTAATTTTGATCCTAGGATTTGAAGGGTTAAGGATGATGACGTTGATAGCTCTTCATGATCTTTCCTGTATTAGTTAAAACTAATACTTACATAACAAATCGTGCATCATTCTTTCTTAATTTAAAATTAGTATTTTTGTGAGGTTTATTAATCGATTTGCCAGAAAATTCTACCTTAAGTCAGACTATTATACATGTTGTGTCATTCAAAAATGATAATCATAGAAAACCAAGAATTTTTAATTTACAGGTTACACGTGTACGAAGTTATCTGCATACCATTGTTTTAAGATTAAAGTTCTAACTTCCGCCAATTTTTTGTCACCCAAATGAAAGTGCAATTTATAATACAAATCGAATAGCAAAAGTTACAGTACGTTCGGCGTTTCTTTATGTAATAAAGGACGAATAAGGCCATCAAGAATGAATAAATCGGGAGACAAACAAATGTTTAGGCTATCGTTTAAATATGAGACAGGAAAAATACCGTTATAACTTCCTACACGATGCGTATACAGACTAGAAAGGTCATGTCATTTTTCAAAGGCTGAATCAAGTTAGTAAAATTTAGCCTTCTTGAATCTGGTACTGACTTGCGAATATGTCGCACTGAATGTTCTTGATAGCGCATCGGATTTGTCTAAACTTCCAGGAGTAAACCCGAGGAAAAAGGGATGAACTCAAATTTAACAGCGTCCGAGCGTAAATTAAGAAATGTTCTTTCATCTTATTCATCTGTCCGACCAGGATCACAATAACGATTGGCAAATGGCAGGCCAAAAACAACAGATAGACGTAAAGTTTAGCCTTCCTGAATCTGATTCTGACATGCGAGTTTGTCGCGCAGAATGGTCTTGACAGCGCATCGGATGTGTCTGAACTTCCAGCAGTAAACCAGAGGAACAAGGGATGAACTCAAATATAACAGCGTCCGAGCGTAAATCAACAAATGTTTCATCTTATTCATCTGTGGTCCGGACAGGATCACAATAGCGATTGGCAAATGACAGGCCAAAAACAACAGATATACATAAAATGTACCAACTGCTGTTTTTCTCAGTCTTTCGAAATTTGAGTGACTTTCTTCGTTCGGTGCCACTGTTTCGACTGGCTGTGCATGAACTTGAACGGTGTGGCGACGTACGACTGTGGAAATCTTGAAATAAATTAGACCCATAGTAAGGAGACAAACAAATCCCACAGTCATCCCAATAAGGTTACAAACATTTTTGCTGCTCAAAACACCGGTTAGGGCTAGGCAAGCACTGAGAATCCAGCTTAAGATCACTGCAGCTACAACACGCTTGTAAGTCACAATGTCTTGGTAGGTGAGAAGTTCCTGGTGTTTGAGGTGAAGGTGGATAGCAAGGAATCTGTCAACGCTGATAGTTGTGACACCGAAGAATGAAGCATAACAAAGGGTTCTTCCTATGAGGCGCAGAGCTCTATCTATGCCGTTATAAGTTTCCTGGTCGTCAGTTTGTTGTATTTGCATAATCATGTGAGCGATGTACAAAGGCTGGACAACTAATCCAATACCAATATCAGAAACAGTCAAGCTAAGGATCAATGCTTTTAGAGTCTTTGGCAGTGATGAAGTCCTTCGCAGCGCGAATATTAAGACAATGTTTAACATGATTGTTGTGTAACATGAGAAGGAATTGGCTACGACGTTTATGATGAGGCAGGGAGAGAAATCTGCTGCCTCTTTCATTGTGTATTATAACTTCGTTTTTCCAAGAGAACGGGAGCGGAGTCAGGAAGGCGTGCTTTCTTGAATGAGTTTACGTTTATGAGGAAGACGTCGGATGAAGGATTCTCTCCCTCCACGAACGCCTCTTCTTAGAGGTGTTCAAAACCGGAGTCCAGATGGCCTTGAAAGATGCAACAAGGAACTGCTTAATTATAAGGATCGAACAAAGGTCCTAAAACTGACATGATGTAACCTTATTGCTGACGTTTTGAAACATGTTGCAAACTGGGGTAAATTTGGACTTTTAAAAATTTGAAAACCTCTGAACGTCAAGGCAATTATATTAAAAGTCCATTTCCAATAAACATTCGTCGTTTAAAGGTGGTGTGCGTTATCTTGTATGTTTTTCACATTTTGTTTAGTCAAATGGTGTCCGTTAGCACAAAATAAAAATTACAGTCCTCCCTAGAAGCCTCAGAGAAACGAATAAACGAAAATATTTAGTTTAACTTCGTATTCTCCATCAGTTTTGCTTGAAGTCTACGCCTTATTCTAGTGAAAGAAAATTAATGCTCATCTTAAAAAAGGGAAACAAAATGATAGATCACTAAAAAGAAAATGAGGATTATCTCCCCAGGGAGCTCCAGCTCTAAGGCAAAAGGCGCCATGTTTTAATGTGCGCGGTCTAATCATGTATGTAATTATGTGCAGTAAGGATGTACACTGCAATAATAAGGAAAAAACTTAACCGTTGTAAGTCTCGTGATCCAGACTAATGAAGGACGAGTGAATCAAATGATGCGAACGTAGATAGCAAAATTTCAGCTTTAGTTCAGATACTTGAAACATGCTTTATTATGCTAGAAAAAAGGTTAAATCCAGAGCAAAAATTAAACTAATTCAACAGATGCCTCTAATCTGTAATATTAAGTTACACCTTCCGGCTCCGCGCCTGTTTTTTGCCAGGTTATCTTATTATGAAACAGCAAATAATTCACAGGGCTTCCAGTGGGTTATTGTATGGTTTGTGTAAATGCGTTATTTGTCGTATTCAACAATTTCCATGTAATAAGCTCTTAACAGAAGCGGTATGTCATATCTCGCTTCAATAACTTGTGTGCTGTCAAGGTTAAATTTGTTATTAACTTTTCTCTGACATTTTCTTTTATCTCGATATTAACTTTTCTCTGTTCTGCTTGTCAAAGGTAGAACACCTCCGTTTTTAACGCATCAAGAGTGATCAGCATCACATTTCTCCTTGCAATATTGGTGACAAGAATTAAGGGCATGATCAAAAAAGATATGATGTGCTGATACTTCAACAACTGCTTCCCACTACTTCAGGGAAAACGCGGCCCGAAATGAGAATTTAAATTTTGATATTAGGGGCTTTTTTACCGTTAATAGGAAACGCAGGAAGTAGCAAATGATTAATTTGCAAATGTAACTACATGTAGTCGTAAATTGCATGCGGTGCGGTGAATTTGGGGTAAAACCTTCGATTAACATTCACCTGAAGTTAATCCATGTGGCTACGTTAACTGTTCTCATTAAAATGTTTTATACAACCATTGTACGTCTTCAAGCCGATTACTGGATGATTTTGTAATTGCCCGCCTTATGATAAAAAATTAAGTGTCTTGTCAGCGCCAAATCATGATGTGAAATAACTGATACCAAAACAATATTTTGGCGTCTGACATATAATTGTCACTGAACAGTCCTAAAGGAAGGTTTTCTAGCCTGCCGGCCCAATATTTGTTATTATGTCAGAGTACAGTAAATACGACTGAAAGGCAGTCGCGCCCTATAGATGGGAAACTCAACCGAAGATAGAAACGCTACCTCTTCCGAGGCATTTAATCCGGCGACAGTGACTATTATATTTTGTTCCCTTAACATTCTTCTTTCGATTACGGCATCTCTGGGGAACACTCTGATCCTGATTGCTCTTCGCAAAGTAACTTCTCTTCATTCACCAACGAAACTGTTGTTTCAATGCCTGGCGATCACTGATCTTGGGGTTGATCTCATTTCGCAGCCACTCTATGTCATCTACAACATGTTTCTGATAAACTTCAACCTTAAGCTTTGGAATATCATCTTTATTCTCTATGATATAACTTGGGGGTCATCAAGTTGTCTTTGTTCAGTTTCCTTGCTCACAACGACTGGTCTAAGTCTGGACAGACTTCTCGCCCTTTTGTTGAAGCTAAGGTACAGGCACGTTGTAACACTGAAGCGAGTTCGTGCAGTTGTTTTCTGCTTTTGGTTAATTGCTCTTTCGAGCAATTTCATGTTCTTGTTCTGGGATACAAACATCGCCTTGACAGCAATTTCAGTCTTGGTAATGCTTTGTATCGTTACCTCACTTCTTTCTTACACCATCATATTTATCAAGCTGCGTCTACATCAAGCTACTGTGCACCCTACTGTGCAATGCAATGTTCACCATGCCGGGCAACCAATCGGAGGGAGAATTCCGGCGTTGAAGATAGCACAGTTTAAAAGAACTGTTACCAGCATAGGTTTGGTGCAGTCGGTGTTAGTTATATGCTATATCCCATTTGTTATTTTAAATGCGATATTACTGTCAAATAGAGTTCTTGCCAACAGTGAGGTTTTCGGCCTTGCCTCGAATCTTGTATATTCAACTCTCGTATACTTAAACTCATCTCTTAACCCGTTCCTGTACTGTTGGAGGATCAAAGAAGTGAGGGAAGCCGTGAAGGCCACAATCAAACAGTTGTATTGTAACTGTTTACGCTGAGTTCCATACCTCGGCGACCGATCTATGGAGAAACAGCCTGATTGTAAAATCGCTTTTCAATCAAACGAGTATATTTTAAAAGAAGGACTTACTAGGGATATTATAGCAGATAACATGGTACACAATAATCGGTTGTTTCATCTTTTATGGAATTGATTTCAGGAAATGCGAGCTTTTTAGTAGATGTAAGCTTACAGAAAATTGTCAATATGAGCCTTATAATACATGTAAATAACTCCACGATATAAATTGGGAATAAAACTGATTGTGACTGGATTAATGTTGGGGGTTGGTTGCACGCGCAACTCGCTGGCTAAGTGAAGAGGTACCGTGTCTTGCCAAGCTGAGCAAATAACCAGATGTCTCTTTGCTTTATCTTGCTATTTATGAGTCGACTTAAAGGGGATAAACCGACTTATTCGCCAAGCTGATGGTGAGCATTTTAATAGGTTTCTCCAGTTTGGGAAGTATAATTACTTTCTTTTTAAAACAGCGACGCCAATACTCTTAAAAATTTTCCTTTGAGTTGGTGCAATTTGTTTTCTCAAAACAATTAAGATCCATTTTTAAAGTCCATGGCTTTAGGGAAACTTCTGAATGCTTCGGTATCGTGTGTCGATTTCTTTATTAATTTTTTGAAATTAAATAAAGAAATAGCTTTGTTATTCTCCCGTGTATTGCGGTGTTCTCTTTTCTTTGAATGCACGAAGTCCTTCCAAACGATCCTTTGTCGGTATTACCTGCGAAAATAAATGTCAAAAATTTCAGCCACAAGGAACTACGAGGTTTTGTTCGTATTGGCGGCCCTCTTTTTAAAATTTTGTTCCCTTTTTTTCGTTATGTGTCAAAATGTCAAGCGTAGACTTGTCGTTAGGTCGAATGATGACGGTCGTCGTTCTACTACGATTTTTAGCGAGAATGTCGCAGTGACGGAGATAAGTAAGCAAATAATAGAAGTTTGATCAATTTGCGATTGGGAGATCTGGTGAAAAAAAAAAACAAAAACAAAAACAAAAACGAAACAACGACAAAAAGAAAACAAAACAACAACAACAACAACAACAGTGAAGCTTTCCGGGATGAATACTGTTTTTGAGAATACGCGAAAAAATATATAAGTTTAATCTTGTCCTCGTTCTAAAATTTAAAGGTTTCTAATAAACTCTCCATAACATTCTTGCCCCAGCGCTAGATTTTACCAAATATAGATGTACCTGTGCGTAGCAGGTCTCCTCAAATGACATGGCAGAAGTAAGGTCAACCTGGAGTTAAAATAACAACAACAACATGGTGTTGGTAAGTTAAGTATAGTCGAACTTGGCGTTACCCTGGGTACCAGAGATTTTTTTCTCACGTGTGACGAGAGGCTTCGCCGGCCACAGGCCGAAGACAAGAGCCGCGAGCAAAAACTTTTCACGTGGGTCACTTTTTAAGACTTGAACGAAACCGGAAACCGCGCATGAAAAGTCTCTGGCACCCAGGGTAACCTGGCGTAAGCGACAACTCAAAATGCCAAGATTTAGTGGTAACTTACAAGAGGGTTTAATCCCGGAGTGTTTTGTGGTGTTCTAGTGTTCCGGGTATTTCTACGTCCCGTGCGTGGCGAAAGTTAGTACTCAGCCGCATACCAGGTTATCCGGTTTTTTCCCGAAGTGTTCCGGGTTGTCTCGGGGGTGCTCCGGTGTTCTGTATATTGGTGTACATCCCAAGCGTGGCGCATGCTAGGTTTCCCAGGTTGCTCCAGATTGTACAGAGTTGACCCAGGGGTGTTTTGGGTTCCGGTGTTCCGGGTATTAGTACCTCACAAGTGTGGCGAAACTTAGAATTCACCCGCATACCAGGTTAGCCGGGTTGTTCCGGAGTGTTCCGGGTTGTCCCAGGGATGTTCCGGAGTGTTCAGGTGTTCCGGGTATTAGTACAACCCAAGTGTGGAGAAAGGTAGAATTCACCTGCCTGCTAGGTTTACCATGTTGTTCCAGATTATACTGACTTGTCCCAGGGGTGTTCTGGAGTGATCCGGAGGTCCGGTTTTAGTACATGCCGAGTAAGTCAAGTATACCCACCTGCATGCCTCTATTTATTGACAATTTTGCCATTCGAACTGCCACAGGTCCCCCAGGTAGAATCTCTTCAGCCAATACGAGGGCTCTTTGATAAGCTGCATCGCCGTTTTCGTTCTGTTCAACAGCATAATCTGCTAAGCCTATTTCCTCGGCTTCTACTCCACTGATCATCTTTCCAGTAAAGATCATTTCTTTGGCTTTAGATACACCAATTAGTCTAGGTAGACGCTGTGTTCCGCCTGAAAGAAAAATGCTTGAAAAAGTTAAGATCAAAATTATGGTCCGCGTAGCTGGCGAAATCAGAGCGGGTTAGTGCTTTTTGGCATGCAGAGCAACCGTTATTTTTCGCGTTTTTCAGGCGAGCAAAGACAAGCGCGAAGCAGGGGTGGAGCCCGAGACAAGCGCGACGGTGGAAGGCGAGCCATCCACAACGAGCGTGTCTTGCGCTTCGTGTTTGACTGCAAAACGCGGGGAAATAGGGCCATTTCTGTAGGCTTGTGCGTTTGGCAGAGACGTCCTTTCGATGACGGTAGTACAGTCACACCCCGATAATACGGATACTGAGGGGGTCATAGAAAGTGTTTGTATTACTTGGGTGTCGTTATTAAGCGAGTTGAATTTAGAGAAAATGTAGGAGTTTTCTTTCCTCAGGGACAAAGAAAACTGTCCTTAATATTGAGGTGTCCGTATTAAGCGGGCGTCCGTAAAGCGGGTTTGACTGTAATTAACTTGTTAATCGCTTGTTTGCGTCTTCTTTCAACAAGTTTTTTCAGAGTTTCCTAGACTACACGAGGCTAAATTTTGGCGGATATTACCTGCTCCAGGAATAATTGCCAAGCGCGTTTCAGTCAGGCCCACTTTGGCATTATCTGCAGAAACCCTGAAGTCACATGACAGGGCCATTTCTAGACCCCCACCCAGGGCGTGACCGTCCAGTGCAGCGATGGTTGGCATGGGCAGGTTATTTAGTTCCATTATTGCAGCTCTTGCTCTTGATACAAAAGGACCAACTTCGTGCTCAGGCATCGTGGCTCTTTCTTTAAGATCAGCACCAGCACAAAATATACCTGGACATAACAAAAAGCTGCAAATCACTGGGGGAAAAAGCATTTACCACTTCAACTCCCAAAAGTTAGAAAGTTAGTATAGGTAATAGCATGATTTGTAGTAATATTTGGCATAAATACCACAAGTGATATTTCAAAATTGTTATACATAATTTCACGAGTCGTCAGGCGAGTGAAATTTGAGACAATTTTGAAATATCACGAGTGGTATTTATGCCAAATATCACGTACAAATCATGCCATTGTTTGTTTATACTACTACCCATAGAAGGTTTGTAATTTTCACATGTAGGTATTTCAAATTAAGCTGAAATACCACTGCTCTAAGCCAATCAAATTGCAGAAATTTGTCATGTAGTAGTATAAATAGTGCAATGTGAAAATAAAGCCGAAGAGGTTTCATTTGAATGGTTAAACCTCAGGATTTTGTCCATAGACTCAAAAGTTAGAACTACCTTTAGTTACAAGACTCCATTATTCACTCTAAAGTGTTAAATAATGCCATACTGATAAGATGAATATCACTTAGAAAGTGAATCTTTAAGTTCAATGAATTCAATGTCATACCTGGTGCATCACTCTTGAAGATAACTGTTCGAACATTCTTGTCAAACTTCACACAAGTAAGGGCTTCTGTGAACTTATCAAAAGAGGATTTAATAAATTGTTAATTTTGGGCAAACACTTTTATCTTTATGCGTGCTCTATCAAGGGTTTTGACTTAAAGAAGTAATGTTTACAGTACTCACACCCTCTACCTCATGCACTGAGATTTTAATTACTGTCAAAATAATAGAACCATGAACACCTTAAATATTTTGTAATGTTTATTGTGTATTGCCAATCACAGTGAGATCAGAACAAGCAAGCAAGCCAAAATTACTACTACCTGCAGTTTATTTTTCCCATGCCTGATTGATTACACTGATTGCACACAAAAAACATTCCTGAAATGTTTCTGGTGTTCCAATTTTGTGAGATACACAGTAAAAGAGACCTTTGCTTCAAATAACAAATTATTGGTATATTTTTCCATCATGTGTTATTCTACACAATGTTGCAGCCTGCATAAATTATATCACTGTTAAAGTGTGAATGCAGTTATTAATCTTTTAAGTCAGAGACAGCTAATTTGATGAAGAAAGTCTTTACTTATGTTATTTACAACAAGTCTTGGTACTATAGCACTTCTAAGAAGGTTATTTTAAGAAGATAAATTCTTTTCTAGACAAGCTATGCCACCAGCCCTTTGAGTTTCAGAAAATTGTGATCTGGCTCCAGTGGTTCGAAAGGTGGATGGCACTATCCACTGGCTAAATCTCTATGTATTGGAAAACGCAATTAGTTTCCATAACACTTATCCACTAGATAGCTATTAATCTGGCCCCAGTTGTTCAAAATGTGGATAGTGGTATCCACCGGATCGATCGCTATCCAGTGGATAGTGATTTATCCGATGGATAGCACTATCCAACGTTTGAACAACCCAGGCCAGGTGGATAGCGCTATCCAGTGTTTGAACACCTGGAGCCAGATCTTTAAGACTCGAAACTGTTTGTGATGCCATCTCATTTTTGTGCATCTTTTCTACTCTTTGCCACCAGTCTTTTTTAGTGGTTATTATAAACTAGGGTCTTCAACATCTGAGTAAATCCCAGATTAAAACTCTTGTTATCCCATCCTCGGAGACCCAGGGGCAGATAAAGGGGGCGAGGGAAAGTCTAAACGGGCGGAAAAATATATACGGAACGAAAAAAAGTAAAGAATGGCGAGAAAAGCCCCTGGGGACAATGTCTTACCAGACTAGTTCCAAACGGTCGCCCCCGTTCTGGCTTCTGATTGGTGCCAGAAAACTTGTGTTTTTCTGGCACCAATCAGAAGCCAGAATGGCGGCGACCGTTTGGAACTGGTCTGGTAAGACATCGTCCCCAGGGGCTCTTCTCGCCGTTCTTTATTTTTCTTCGTGCCACATTTTTCCGCCCGTTTAGACTTTCCCTCGTCCCCACTATCTGCCCCTGGGTCTCCGAGGATGTTGTTATCCCAAATCAATAAGGTAAATGTTACAGGAGTAATGCTCACCAAATTTAGAAACTTTTTGCTCATGGCATTCTTAGCCTCTGGTCTGTTCATGACAAATAGTGCGATCCCTGTTTATAAGGTGATAACATATGAGTCAAAGGTTTCAGCTATTGCAAGGTTTATATTAACGTGTACTATTTTACAATCAAATTGCAATTACAAATTTATACAATTTTAACTGCTACATGACCTTTAAAAGCAAAACCACCTGGAACTGGCAGTAGACTTCCACCAATCAAATGGTTCGATGACTGGTAGCCAGTGCTATTTGAATCATTTGATTAAATGAAATCCTTCACAAATGTTTTTAATTTCAATGGCTGTATAGCATTGAAAATGTTGGTAAGAAGTTTCCAGCAGCTCACAAAGATATTGATGGGTTTTTGAAGTTATGCTAACCACAACACAGCCAATGCGATGGTGGGGATGTATCTAATCATCTGACAATTATGTGAAGCAGCCCAGCAACATCTACCTTTGATAAAATTCCACCAATGAGACAAATACTGGCTATCCCATTCAAAGTCTGCATCCTCCCCCTCCACCACTACTGAATTAACGGTGAATTTTAGGGGGAGCTATAGAGGGAGTTTTCAGAAGTCATTTTTGAAGGAGATACCTCTCTTCAAATTGAAGATCATTATAATCTCTATGTGTTTGAAAAGAGTAATGGGTTGGCATTTTAATCTTATTTTCCCTAGGTGCAAAATTCCTATTTTCCTGTAGCCCATCAATAGGGGGTGCATATGTTAAATGGAATGGCCCAATAATATACCTGCCAACCTTTTCTGAGATATAAGCGAGAGATTTTTATCCTGGGAGTGCTGGGATTTTTGAAGACGACACGATCATATCTGAAGATTCCCGAAGAAGTCCGAAGTCTTCCGAAGACGTCCGAAGTCTGCCGAAGGCGAAGTTATCGAGAAAACGCTTATCCACAAAATCAGAGATCGCGAGGAAGGTATTGTCATCTATTCATTTTACACATGGTTTTCGTTCCTTACATGGGTCTGAGTTAACATATTTGTGGAAATTGTGTCAAGCAAGACGGCAACAACTCACATTTTTCAATCAGGCGTGAGAAATTGGCCCGCAAGCGAGAGCCGACGTGAGATCGAAGTTTTTAACCCGCAGGCGTGAGACTCACGCCTAGGGCGTAAGAGTTGGCAGGTATACAATAATCAAGAATACGGCCATGGTATAAGGCACCTTCATGCTTTCCCTCCAGATAGCGAAGGCTGAACTCTTCCGATCTTGATGTCGCACTTTCTGTACTGTAGAAAAGTGTATTTGATACAGAACGTCTCCTATATGGCAACACTCTCTTCAAAAGATTGACTAGCAAGGCGCTATTCCCATTTCTGCGACGGAACACAACAGCCGCCATTTTGTTTTGGAAAGTTCAATACGTCATGTATTTTCCCTGATTGTCGCCTTCGTAAGCAATTCTCGTCGCCAGTGCTTTCTGCCGATAATTATCGAGGAAGACTAAACCCAAATTTATTGAAAGAAAAAGAACAATTGTACCGCTAATTTTTATTTTGCAAAACCTGAATTAATCAAGCATATTTTGTTTCGGTTGATAAAAATCGGGCGGAGAAGGAGGAGAAGGCAGCGGAGGCGGATCCAGGCGGGGAGTGAATTGGGTGGCTAGCCACCCCCCCCTTTAGAACAGCCCACCTAAAAAATATAATACGTGGAAAAACAAACGGAAATATGTGAGGCCCAAAAAAATATAGAAATGCGTGGGTCGCAAAAACCTTGTGACGCCAACCAGCCTTCGTCTTTCCTAAATCGCCTCGTTTTGGGACAAACGTAGGACAACTTAAAAGTTAAAATAGTTTGATGGCCAATTGTTATCATCCACCACCCCCGCCATTAAAAAAACCTGGATCCACCCCTGGGAAACCATGCAATTAGCCACCGTCGCAGGCAGACTAAATTCCTGATACACACTCTATCGAGTTCTCTATCTAGGACAAGTCCTGTTGCATACAAGAAGGTGAAGTGGAGATGAAAGATACACAGTGAGAAGATTGACTCCCAAAAAAAAAGGGGAAAAGGTAAAAAAAAAGATGGAAAAAAAAATTAACGCAACATTGAAAGTGGTCGTCTTTATTTCAAAGCTGAACTGTTACTTGTAGATATTTTGAGTTTTTGAACGCCACCTGCGTTTTATCCTTTATCACAGGAGGAAAACTTCTACTCCAAGTTACACAAAAAGTGTCGCGATTTTGGGACTAGAACTAGATACTGGAAACTTTTCTTAGAACCAATATTCCGGCTCAGACAGCTTCACAATTTCAGCAGCAAAATGCGCATCTATGAAGAGTATTGACTATTGGATAATTTTGGGGTGGGATATGACTTTAACCTCACTTTGAATTTAAAACCAAACATGCGAATGCCTTTGCGGCACGCGCCCTCCCAAACCCGACCCGATTAACGTCCCATGTAACATTTTTTTTTCCAAGGGCCTGTTTACATGGAGGTGGGGGACCCCAGGTAGGTGAGGTGACCCGCTTAGGTGGGATAACCCGACTGTCCATACAATCCCTCGTACCCCACGTAAACGTGATCAAATTAAAATAAGAGATTATATGGACAGTCGGGTTACCTCACCTACCTGGGTTCCCCCACCGCCATGTAAACAGGCCCTAAGATATTTGTTGTCACCCAAGTAAAATATGCTCTACTTTCACTGGGCGCGTTCGTTTGACCGTCACAACAAGAATAAATGGCATAAACGTTTAGAAATTATCTGTTTAGGCAATTCATCACATCATACCATCTCCAAATCTAATTGAAATGCATTTTTAAGATGTATGTAGCATTCCAGTGGTCTAAGAAACCTGCTGGTAAAAGAGATTTGTCAGAAAATTTTTGTGCATTCTTATTCCGGAATAGCGTCAATCGAACACACCTATAATCGGTCATCGGTAATCGTTTTCGTGCTATTTCGCGCTATTTCAAACCATCGAGGTGAAGGCAGCCTTGTCACGCCACGATAATTCGACCCTACAAACGGATGTTTTAAGTTTTTGTGTCACGAGGTGACCTCTTAAAAAATCCATGAAAAAAATTGTTTTGTCTTACTTCACAAGTACGAATTATAACTGAGGCAAGAATTCAGGTCAACTAGATTTGCAGCTAATAATCAGTCAAAGGAATCGTCATTCTCACTTTCGTCATGTAAACTCTCTTTGTGTACGTATTCCTCTTTTAGGTTAAGGCAGTCGCAGGGTTTATAGGCCAAGATTCCTTCTAACAGCTTTCGCCCACTGGAAACCATACTTCTGTCTGACAGAAAGTGAATAACGAGGACGAGATTGTTGTCAGGAGACAAGACTTCGCTCGCATACTTCACCTGCTCCAGCACGTGCGCTTGGAAGAGAAGGTGATGCTTGGCATAGACATTGCATTCCCAGTGAAGCCATTTGTTCCTGCGAGACAGACGCCCGTGGCTAAACGATTTGAACGGTTCGTCATCCTCGGTGTTATCCACAATTATCTTATCTCCTTCTTTAAGCATGGCACCCACGTTCGAGCGCGTAGCCTCGAGAGCCAAACCATCGATGGTGAACACTTCCTTTGGGAACAACACCCCTGATATGATCTCATCTTCAAACTCCTCCCTGCTACAAGACCTAACTTGCACCCCAAGCCGATCTTGTTCCTGGTTCACTTTTTTTAGGTCCAACTTAGTCTGATCGATATAGTAGGCTAGGGTGTCTTGTTTGAAGAGAACCTTGTCGGCGAACAGTTCTTGTCGGCTCGCATATACCTGTTTTGGAGCGTAGAATAACTCTCGGGAGACATTAGGGTAGTTTTCACGAACGTATTCTCTGTTTGTTCCAACCAACTGGGTCTGTAGTCCCTGGCGTCGAAACTGGGGATGAATCCTCTCGGCATCGCATGCCGAACTACGCCCTTCGTTCACGACGACGAACGTGCGAAAACCAACGACTCGATCGCCTAGCTCTGCTACAAAAGAGGAACGTTTCGGTTCTGTTAGCCAGTTCTTAAATCTGTTAGGAATACAGTCATGCTCTGCTTCAAATCTATCTTCGTAAGTCACTCGAGAGAGATTTACAACCGCAGTGAAGTCGCTTTCGGAAGCTGGACGGATTTCGAGATGTTTCATTTTGGATTTTTAAATCTGGGATCCACATGCACAGCGTATAACGTGGTTCTCTGACCAAAGATACAACTTATGCTTTCACAACTGTCACAAGTTTTTTAAGAAATTTGAGATAATAGCTCATTGTTAAGTACAATCGCATTCTTCCAATTGGTTACGTGTCACTTACAAGGTAATTATACTGTCTTTTATAAACAACATAAACAAGCTCCAAATTGCAACATTGATCTGTTAGCAATTTGTCGAATCTAACTCAAAGAAAAAGACATCTAACAAGCTCTAGAGCTCGGCATTAGAATAGCAAATGGCTTGAAGTGATTGAAACAAAGAAACAACTTTTGTCAGGTGTTGCTTTGGAGGCCATCTTTATTCTGAGCGTGTTTTACGGCTTGTTGAGCAATTACTGAACAAATCACCAACTATAAGCTTCCTTTTGAAGTGGAAATTTTTGTTTCAGAAGTGCCAGTCTCACATTCTGTCGCTCCAAAAAGAAAACAAAATGCTAGTAAGGGTTTGCACAGCAGCGTGTTTCATTTCTGTTGTAGATTAAACACAAATATTTATACAATGGCTACTGCCAACTGAATAAATATTGATGTTTATTGATTAGAAAATAAAACCGAAATAAAGAGGAATATCAGCTGAGACTGCAAATTGTGCGTGTTCAAGTGCCAAACGTTTTTGATTTCGCAGTCCTAGCAAAATTACAGCGAAATTAAGTCAGTAAAAGAAAGTTTCTGTATAGGAATTATTTGGAGTAAAATTAGTTTGCAAAGCTGCAGGCGAGAATCTGCTCAGGGTCGATAAATCTTTCGTGTAACGCGAATCCTTTAGGACAGGCAAAAGGCTTATCAATCCCTGTCTTTACTTGGTCTCAACAGGCGATAGACGATAGCATCAATGCGTTGTCAGCTCAATTTTCTTCTAAGACTTCTAATGCATTTTCGCTTTACGTAACGAGTGTTGCTTGCAATTTCTGGCTCACGGGTTTGGGCCGAGTCTGTGCCATAGTTCAACACATTTAACTGTCTTCTCGTATTCGTGAAGAAGGCACAATCATATACCACCCCGCACTTGAGGGGAACACGACCTTACGACAATGGGGCGTCGGTACGTAAACTCATTAACCGCTTCAATTTGTCAAGAAAGGATGGAGATAAAGTACTCTTTTGTTGAGACAATAGAGTCATTTATACGCAAGTGATATAAAACTCGACTGAAAGACGCGTCTTTTATTACGAATCTTAGATAGGACATGAAGTGTGCCATTTACACAAGGATAAAAGATGAGACTTCGCAAAGTCGCGTCTCATTTTAATACGGACGTACAGAAATGGAAAATTTGTACGAAATGTTTGCGTCTGGTCATGAGGAGTTTTTTCCTCCTCAGAGCATAATGTTTGTCTATGTAATGAAATGAGCTTTTGTGTGAAGCAGAGGTCTAGCAACGCTATAGCAATTATCTTCTAATGATAAGAAGTGTTAGAAAAACATCACAGGATGGATACTGCCAAGGATACTGCAGAGCTGAAGCGAACGGATGAGAATCTGGAAACGAGAATGAACATTATCGCGAATTATCGCGAGCGCTCGCGCGCTAACCGCGCGAGCATGAGAACGAAGCTTTGTGACCACGCCTCGCACGGAAGTGAAAGTGAAAGGAAGGTGAAAGTGTGGTGGAGTGTTAGCAATTATTAACTTCCTGAAGATGAGCGATCCTTGCTCTGTTTCCGCTCCAAGTGAGTGTGAATGCACTCACATCAATTGGTTCGTGAACGTGTTGTTCGAGAAACACATCCTCGACTGCCGCGCAGAGCTGGAATTTGAGGTGAAAAAGAACAACGTCGAAAAGCTGGTGAGTATGGCGCTCGTCTTCGACTGCGAGCTGTTGATCATCAGGTCTTTTTGTCCCCAGAGGAGAAAAATAATAATTATGCCTAAATTTAAAAATATTCTAAGATGTCTATTCAGGAACTCCCCGTAAATGAAAAGCGCAAACATTAACTGCTGAAAACTGAAAAACTCCAAATGTACTTACGATAAGGAAGCTTTATACAGCTGTAAAGCGTTTCCCAAAAGAAAATGCCGTGGGGGTGGTACGAGTAAGTTTGACCAGTGCTTTATTGAAAGGCCTTTTCGAAATTGACATTCTTTATTCATATGTTGGCTCATATAGTTTGTTACAATCATGATGTTTGACAAGTGTACACGTGTACAGTGAAGTCTTGCTCTCCAACCAAGAAAGTGCCCCCCGCCACCCCCACCTCACCTGGCCTGTTGTATCCATGGCTCATTCTGGAGGCCCTGTTAGAGTGAACAGCAACATAGGACAGCAGAAATGTGGAGAAACGATTCAAAGATGGGTAGAAACTGTGTCAGCAACAAAGAAAAGCCCAAATACATTTATGATAAAATAAAGACAGCGAAATGGCTTTACTCCCTAATACGCAAAACCACAGGTTTTGTAATTCACACTAGGGATATTCTTACCCACCCAGGAGGGTCCCATTCTGGCTTTGGTAAATCTGCACTTTTCTGACAGCCATGCTACAAGGATTTTTTATAAATAGCAAGCTCTGAATGTAGCAATATTCCCGTAATTTTACATGCATTGTAATTACTTGTGGCTTTAAAGACAAATCACAAGCTTGCTAAGGAATTAAGAGCATCACCTTTGCTGTGTTATATTTTTCAGGTTCTTGATACTCGTGATTTAACCATCAGTCAAGTTACAAATGATGCAGGAGAGATCTTGAGACATAGCCTTGGTGATGAGCATCAGGCATTTGGAAAACCACTAAACATTGAGTTACCCAAAGGCCTGAAAAGGTAAAAGTTTTCTTGATATCATTCCCACTATACATACATGCTGTATTTACAAGTTTTATATCGAAAAAGCAATCATTATTATGGGGTTTATTTTATTGGGGTCCTGTCTTGTCCTTGGGTGGGGCAGTGGTTAAAGTACTTGCCTTTATAGCGTTCTACCAATTAACAATGTGGCGTGAACTTGAAGTCCAGAGGCAGTGTCATAAAAATATGTGAGTTGAGTTCCCTAGGTACTTCAGGGTAATTCAGTTTTCCACTCTCCTGAAAACCAACATGATTTGTAAAACGGAAGACAAGAAACCACACCATAGATGTGCCACCCATAAAACATTATTTACTCTTTTCTGTGTATCTTTTAATTAATGCCCTTAGTGGTTCCAAGGTGCTAATCAAGATTAGTTACCAGACTTCCTCAACTGCATCGGCTGCACAATGGCTTACTCCTGAACAGACTGCTGGCAAAAAGTATCCATACTTCTTCACTCAGTGTCAGGTGAGGATAAAAAAAAATATGATAAAAGATAAATTATCTAATATAACTTTTGCAAATTTCGAATTTTGATGTTTGGACTGTTATCTTTCTTTTACAGGCAATCCATGCTCGTAGTCTTATCCCATGTCAAGACACACCCTCTGTAAAGACACCATATCAAGCAGAGGTAAGCTATTTTGGATTTTACAACACTATATCTTTGTCAAGACAAAAAATGCTGTCTGGTTAGCTCAGTTTTGTGCCAGTTTGCCAATCAGGAAACTATGGGTTCAATCCCTGGACCAATCTGAGGAAATTAAAAGCACAGTCTTTGTAATGTCATCTGCAAGTGGCTAGACAAGTCTTCTTTAGGATGAAAAACTGTAGGCCCCATCTCATGGCCCTTGTTCTCATAAAATCTGGTGGAATGCTAAAGGACCCAATACACACTGTCTTTTTGTAAAGATTCACAAATCATTACTTACAGTGTGACCAATTATAAACTGCACTAAATTAGTAGCCTGGCCAGTAGCGAAGGGCCAACGAGTTCGCAATATATATGCATTGACCATTAGAAAACTTAGTGTTAATTGTGCAGGGACATAACTAAAATGGTTTGTCTATTAAAAGGTGACAGTTCCTAAGGATCTTGTTGCTCTGATGAGTGCAGTAGGAACAGGGAGCTCTGTTCATCCTCAGAATCCTGATCTGATGGTGTTTACATTCACTCAAAAGGTATTTTACATACATATGCATTATCAAGCATCCTAATCACAGGCTCTTATATTGCCATGGCCAAGTGGTAATGTAAAAGAGGTTTCCTTCGAATGGTCACACTATAGGATTTCACCTAATCTGAACCAACCTGTACCGTACTATATAAATTATATACCAGGTGGTGGTGGGTACTTGCTCTCTATTATGGCCTATATGGAGAGGTCCCGCCCAAAAGGGGTGCGTTTTTTGACTTCAAGAATGGGAAAGGGAAGGAATTTCAGCAGTTGAAGTATATGATAGGGTAAGGAAATCTGTCATTTTGGTCTGTAAACATTCTAAAGCCCGAAAGGGTTAACAGAAGAATTTTATACCTGTTAAGAAGTAGAGAAAATGTTCTGGTGTTGTGATATATTCACATTTAAAATAATAATAGTGCGTTAACACACAGTGGTTATAAGGCATGCAAAGTTCTAAACTAGGTATGTGATTGTGAAAGGGGTATACCATTTTGTCAACAATGGAAGGTATTACGAAAGGGGTACGTTTTCTGTCAAGGACAGTATAATACTAGAAGGCTAAGGGGTTGGACCTTTGGGTGGAGCCTAGTGTATTAAATTTTTTTGAGTACCTCTCGGTTTATTATCATCGCAAGTTACATCCCTATCACATCTTAAGTTTCATTAATTGTGAGATAGGTAAAAAGGGGAGCTGACAATCAACAGGAAAGAGATTTTATGTAACCTCCCTTTTCATCTCTCTATACAGGTTGCTATTCCAAGCTACTTGATTGCTCTTGTTGTTGGTCCTCTAGTCAGTCAGTGAGTAAATACATAAATCCTTTGACCCCTATTAATGGTGGCCGAAAAAAATTCAAATTTTGTTTGGTAAAATCCTAAGAAATAAACAGCACTATGAAAGAATTCCTGCTAAAAGAAGTTTCATTTGAAAAGTAAAACCACTGGATTTCATCCTTTGATGAAAAAAGTCGCAATGACAAAATTAAAAATTTCTTCATAACATGGTATTGGAATGATCAAAGGGGTAACATTTGCTATCGTTGCTATATTGTACATGTACGTTAAGTAATGATCCACGTAAGGTGGATATATAGCAATTTCTTTTGTTATGCGGCAACGGCGCTTTCCCCTCATAGGAATGTTCTCATTTTTACATAGAGAGTGCATAAACCCACATGAAGGCCATTTACGCAATAAAATGCATTTACACTCGACTTTGAAAGGGTATTTTTTTTGTGTTAAAAGATTTTGACCAATCACAAGAATTGAAAACAATAGCAAAGAAAAGTTTACAATTTTACATGTTCCCCACATAGGATTTCTTTGTCATTCAAACTGAGACCAGATTTTGTTATATGGAAGATGGTTGGAAAGTAAGGATGAATATATGTACCGCTTTATGAAGTTTTGTTAACTTTTGCTGTTTAAGTGAATCAGAAGTAAGTACAGACAATAGAAAAGTTAGCACCTTTTTTGCATTCCAACATGTTCGTTGCCGTTGTTGCTATTGTTCTTTCTTAATAGTTATTACATGTATGCACTGTGGGATTTGAAGCATATAAATCCTTACTTTTCAGGCAAGTTGGTCCTCGTTCTAAGGTGTGGACAGAAAAAGAAATGCTTGAAATAAGTGCATGGGAGTTTGCAGAGGTGAGCCCTTTTGCCCTATAGACTCTTTTAAGAAAAAAAAAACATGCAGTAGCAAAAGTGTTAAATAACAGTAAAGTCATTGACATATATTGTCTGACTACATGCACACCGTATTTTACAGAACTCTTTCTGTGGGTTTGCCTATGATTACTTCCTTGTTCGGAACATTTGGTTAGAGGTGTAGGAATACTTGTACCTTTATGTAACCAGACATTTAATCTGAAGACTGCAGACTCCAAAACTCTGTATTACAGTAGATACTGAAATTAAAATGGAAGGGCTATAAAAGCACGTGCAACAAAGGATAAAAGAAATATGGGCCATTAAACAACAGCCATAATTAACAACTGCCACAGAAATTACACAAACTGGCCTGATATTTCTACAAATACACATGTTCAGATCGGTAGATCGATCTTAAATTCTGTCGTACGAGACACATGCCGTTTTATTATTTTGTGTCTTTGGGGATTTTTATGTGTCAGGGATGCAGGACACACCGGTATCAAAATCACTGAGGGCATGTTATTTTATTTCCTTAACTGGCAGGTTGAGTCTCAGCTGACTGTTGCTGAAGAGATAACGTTTCCATATGTCTGGGGAACATATGACCTGCTGATTCTACCACCATCATTTCCATATGGAGGAATGGAGAATCCCTGCCTTACTTTTGTAACACCGACATTGTTGGTTGGAGAGGGGGTAAGGTGTTTGTCAATCAACATATTGTTGCACTGTCTTGAACTACTTGTATGTTGTACTGTGTGTCACTAGCTTCTCAGTGTAAAGAGTTTATGACTGAATATTGCTATTGAGTATTATCAGTGGTAATGTCATTTTAATTATCATTTTCTTTTTCTTTCCTGCAGGGTGGAAGACCTCTCACTGATGTAAGTTATGTTGTTGTTATTATTTTTTCTTTTTTCTGCAATTGTAGGTATTCCTCACCCTTTGAGCAATCCTTCTGCCTTCCTTTGGGGGAGGAGGGAGGGAGGTGGGGTTACTCCCTATAATGGCCTTTACATACATGTAGGCTCCGCACGATAGGGGTTCCTTTTTCAGGCTTTAGTTATATGAGCCTCCCTGTATAATTTTTTTTAAGTACCCGCTGGGTGTCTTCCTAAATGAGAAAGAGAAAAGGAGGCTCTGCGTGAACCCCGACAAGCCTTTGAAGTCTGCGGAGCTTGAACTTTTGCACGAGTGGGAGCATCCGTTGATAAACCAATAGTCATGACTGAGCCTGCTATACAAGAGGCACGGCTGGGTTGGAAAATGTATCCCAGCTACAAGCGGTACAGGCTCAACCATGGTCTGAAATGTTTTCCGCCTCTTCGTCCCTCCCCCCGCCCTTTCCCAAAGGGCGGCAAGAGATAGCCTCTTTTGCCTTGGAGGAGATGGATGACATTTCAGTCTTGCTCAACAAAGACATTACTCGATTCATGCAGAAGTCGTTTTTGTGTACTCCTAAATCGAGCATGTAAAAACGGTTCTGTTAGCATGGTGGAGATACCCTTTAATGGCGCAATGATAAACCGCCTTTTATTGTAATTCCACAAGGGAAACCTTGGAGCTTTGGAGTGACTTGTATTTCACAGGTTTCTTCAAGGCAGCAAGGTGGAAAAAATATATATATATGTATGCATATAAGTTTTTTTTTCTTATTTATCAGGTAGTGGCTCATGAGATATCCCACAGTTGGACTGGAAATCTCGTGACTACTAGAACCTGGGAGCACTTTTGGTATGTAAGTGTGGCCTAGTTCGTCCACGTCAGTTTGTACATTGTACTACATTACAGTCAGCTCTCGGTTTCAGGTCGAAAGTCGACCGAAAGTCCCCTCGCCCGTTAGGAGAGAGTTGTATAGATTAAACATGCGTTGAAGTTGTAAGCATGTGCAGGCGGGTGTCCCCTACGCGCCGTGAACGTGAACGGAAGTGTTCGAGAAGGGAGGTAACCTAGGAGCGAGATGACCGTGAAACGAGGTGACTGTGAAGTGGGATGAGCGTGAAGTGAGATGAGCATGAAGTGAGAAGCGAGATGACCGTTATGCGATATGATCGTGAATCGAGATGAGCGTGAGGAAGTGACATGATTCAGCTTTAATTTGGAACCCTCCAAAAACATTAATTTGCAATTAATAATATTTAGAAATAAAAGTTATTTAGGAATTACCTGCTGACATACTTGTTTCCGTGCAGGTTAAACGAAGGGTTCACAGTCTTCCTAGAGCGCAAAATTCTGGGCCGAAGAAAGGGAGAAAAGATGGTCGATTTTGCTTACATAGGTAAGACGAAGCTTAAAGTTAACTTTGTGAATTAAATATTCATATGAAATTTTTGTCCGTTTAATTAATAAATGTAACTTTTCTAAAGAGCGTTTTATGTGATGCTGGTATGTATCACTTTTAGACTTAGTGTGATGTTATGCTGTTCTGAGGGATTTGCTCTTTTGGCTTTGTATTCGTTTACATGTTGACGAATACTCATTTGTAGTAAACTAAACTCAGCGTTTTAGGAAACGGCCGAATCCACAGAGTTTCAGGTTCTTCCTTTATATGCTAGATATTTCGGTGTTAGTTCATGTGCTTTCTAGAATTCATCATTAGCAAATGAAGACATTTTTTGTGTTATTGTCTAACCTTATTGGCTCACAGCACGTATATCGTTTACGAATATCTTCATATTTTTTCTTGGAAAAAGATGGCAGGGCATTTTGAAGAAATGATCAAGGCTTTTTTTCCCTTTTAATAGGTGGTTGGAAAACACTGAAGGATGCAGTAAGTTAATAATAGTTTGCATGGTCGTCAGAATATAACTAATATTATCAATAATAATGACAGTTATGGTGATAACATTAACGATACTTTATAGCTCTTATCGCAAAGTTTTGGTGACTGGATCACCCATAACAAAATAGTTGAACCTGAAAAAATGTGCACGTGGCAATCCCGACAGGTAATATGGGATATGATCAGTACACTGTTCCTGACACTGTAGCTGTCGAACCTACTTTTGTTGCTTCCCTTTGGCACTCACAGACATATGTCCGTGGCCTCTCGTGCCATTCTTTCAAATTTAAAAAACGGTGAACTCAAAAACAACCCACAATACCTTTCGGGGTTTTCGCGGGCACTTTATCCGACAACCTCTCTCAAAATGACTGTGTACAGATACCTACTTTATATAAACACTAAGTCGTAGTCGCAGGGACATACAAATACAGTGCAGGCCAGAACTAAGCGAACCACAATATACGCGTAATACGCGTCATGCCGGACGCATCCATGCCTTTGAGCTGACGAACATATGCGTCTGCTCTGAAATGTGTCAGTGCACATTAAGACGCATTAGTGTGTATGAGCTCTCTCTTTGTTTAGAAGTGTAATGTGTGCAGTCGGTAAAAGGTCAACAAGAATCAAACGGATTGGCAACAAACACACAAACAACTCCCTTAAACGGGTATTTCTCCTAAGGGGACATTAATTTTGTGGTCGCTAAAATGCTCTTACTGGAGGTTCGACTAAACTTGTTTTTTTAGCTCGCTACTGACTCTTAGTCTCAGCTCTCTCTCTTCTTCTTATGAACAGCTGAAGCAGTTTCCAGATAACAGCCCCAAGACACAGCTTGTAGTGGACCTTAAGGACACGGATCCTGATGATGCATTCTCCAGTATACCTTACGAAAAAGGCTCCTGCTTTTTATACTACTTGGAAAAGATCCTCGGAGGACCAGGTTAGATGTTAACAAAATAACTAATAATTATAGCGAGTATTAATACTGAAGAAATATCAAGTTTAATACTAACCTAATAAGAAAGAAAGAATTAAGTTTAAGGTTTGTTATATACTTGGCATCCGGGAAAATTTAAAGTCATGGCGGTTTTTGAACCGTTGATTCTCATGGATTTAAAATCTCTTTATTGTTTTTGTTTTTTGCTCCGTTTTCTTTGTTTGCCTTTATTTTGTACATGTATATTTGTTTTTTCTATGATAATGGTACCATAAAAACTGAATACTTTTTCAATTTTTTACAAAGCATGTGCCTCAAAACTATTATTTATTTTTCCAAATTTGATCGCCAAATTTCACATGTTCTCCTACAATGATTTTGTTAACCAATACTCTTGGGTTCTGGATAACGTAAAGATGTGCAGTGATGAGAGTAAACGGGAGTATTTTGAAACAGTTAGATACTTAAATACCTCCATCATTGTTCTAACTTTATGTCATGGCGCGTCAACTCTACTTTTTACCTTAAGGATTTATTCTTTTCTGATTCATTGATTTGTCGTTGCAGGGGTTTTTGAACCTTTTCTCAAGAAATATTTGGAAAAATACCAGTATCAAACTGTTACAACAGATGATTGGAAAGAATGCCTGGAGGAGGATTTCCATGATAAGGTGATGACAAAATGTCTCTTAGAACCTCTCAATTTCGTTAATTATTCGAAATTCAAAGGCAATAGAATTCAACAGCCTGCTTTTTAGGAGATTTTCGTGTGTGTTTTTCGTTGGTTGTTCATAAACTAAGAGATTTGGCTGCGCCAAAGCTGAGCGAAGTCAAACCGGAAAAAGGAGGGGGAGGAGGCGAGGTGAAGGAGGCAGAGGGAACAGCGGCAATTTTCTCACTGCCCTCGCCTCCCTCGCCTCTTCAGGTCCTGTTTGATAATTTCGTCAAAACTTCCCAGCTACGCCGCGCCGCATTATCAAATATCGTCTCGGTGTTTGATATGTGATAGGTCTCGTGGTTGATGAAATGAAATGAACGGTAACACTGAAGAAGACGGATGTACCGTCGAAACATGTCTGGTAAATTAACGAAAGTCGTTTTGTTCATGCGGCTATCTATATTGTTGCTGCTATCTCGACCTTTTAAATGAACGGTACCTCTTACAATGTTTGTTTGTCATATATTTTAAAAGAAGTCTTTGTAACTTCGCTCACTTTCAACATGCAGAAAGATGTTTTGAAGCAGGTTGATTGGAAAGCTTGGCTCTACACTCCGGGCATGCCCCCTGTTGACGTGATTAACTTGTGAGTAAGGCCAGTACATGCTGCATTGAACAAGTGGTTCAAAGGTCAATAAGCGTATATCTAGAGTAATAGCTACCGTGACAAGTCATACGTCCAGTTTACAGTTTTCCAAGGATAGAGCCATGTCTACACTTTACTGGATAGCTTATCATACCCCTCCCCTAAGCCAACATTTTGCCCTAACTGAGAAGTCAAGTGTTAATGCTGGCTTAGGGGAGGGGTTGGTGGGCAGTTTCCCAGAAATGTATAATCATCCAAAAATTCTCCTGCCCAGCATGAAGAGCGGTGCAAAAACCTATCCGAAAGCTGTGAACACACTATAGCCTTCTTCGAAGGATCTTGAGACCAGCCTGTAGAAGCAGTGTCCTCACCAGAATTTTGTGATTTGTGGCCCAATGACCCCATGCCTTGCAGTTTCTGGGCCTTTTAAAACAAAGAGTGGGTCACAAAAGTTCACTCAGTTTATAGTTTCCAACTGAAATTTGTGTCATGTTAGAAACACTGGAATAAAATCAAATGTTTTAACGTGTTGTTTTGCCCCCCGTGAAAAAAACAAACAAACAAACAAACACAAAACAAAATTGCATAAGCATTGTTTTCTCTTTGGGATGACTGTAATACCCAGGAGAAGTAAAAAAAACAAATGTTATCCAAAACTTTGGGGGGCAAACAAGGTTTATTACTGGAGATGTGCAAATTGTGAATTGACCTTTATTAAGAGTATATGATTAAAGATCTAAACACATTGTCTTTATTAATTAGGTATGATACGACTTTGACCGTTCCCTGTACCACCCTGTCTGACAGATGGCTTAAGGTTGGTTAACCCAAAATGTTATTGTTTTTTACGAATATTATGCAGAATATTTTCCGTGCTAACGCTGTTTTAATATAATTCAAACCTACTTTTAAATATTCCCCGATGGTTGGAAAGGAAAGGCACCAAAATAAATCTCACAAAAGAATGCCCAACCCTATAAGGAAGGTAGTTTTCAACATAAATTGACGCCTAACAAATTACTCATTTTGACTTGACACCCGGGGACCCAGAGGGGAGGGGTACTGCCATATACGTGGGGTAAGGGTAGGGGCTTACAAGCAGTTTGATTTGGAACAAAGTATAGAAATTTATTAGTGCTGTGAACGTTAAAGGTTCTGGTTCATGGTTAGTCTGAGATAGGCCAGAGATTTTTCGTTGTCTGATATAGTATAGCGCAATTGCAGTTGAACATATTCTAGTATATGTCAAGGGTTCCACGATCCCAGCGGCACAGCCCCACCCAAACATACCTAGAGTGTCCCCCTCCCAGGACATAACTTTCAATTTTCTTTGATCTGAGCAGCCAAATCGACAATGTTGCAAACCAGCGAGGCCAGAAACTATAGGACTATAGCCACCCTTCCAGACTTTCTTAGCGCTTCGCAACGCGTTAAGCGTGATCAATAACGTCTGCGTGGGAGGCTGCCGTGACTACAGAAACAAAAGTTCTACTTCTGTGGGCTTAACATGTATCTCATCTTCAATCCTAATATTGCTCACGTATATCACAGGCCAGCGAAGGAGATCTGGACTCATTCTCTGCTGATGACATCAAGGACTTCACACCTCCGCAAGTTGTTGAATTCCTGGCTCAGCTTGTTGACAAGGTAAAGGCAGTAACTGAAGACCCTTTAAACGACAACGAGGACGAGTCTTGATTAAATTTTTTCGACTTATTCCAAAAAAACTATACACCGCGGAAAGCTTCAGTGTGCGTTTTTCCACTAGAAAAGGAAGCACTGTTATAATTATTAAAGAGGGTTAAGCCCTCTCTCGATCCTAGAATGATAGAATTTCTTACATTTGATAACTTATTTCGGCCTCTACGATATTCTTGCCAAAACTCCTGACGACGGCTATCACGTTTTCCCGCCAAAATGACTCTAGTTCACGCGCGCGCACTACTTAGTGTTGAGAAAATCTCGTACTCCTTGTCCTCCTCGTCTTAAGGTCTTCACAACCCCGCTAACACGGCCATCTTGGCAATACAGGCAAATTTTTATGACTCGTTTGTGGCCACGTTGACGGGGTTTCACTCCCAGGTGTTTTCAATGCATTTAACTGGCTTTTGTCTATTTTCATCGCGCGTAGACGACTACTGGGAAGCCGTTTGCCCTAATGCACCTAAAGAAGATGGATGAAGTTTACGACCTCACTTCATCAAAAAATTCTGAAATCAAATTTAGGTGAGTCAGTCTCAACTATTCAGTCAAGTAAGTGAGAATAAAAGAAAGGGATCGTTATGCGTTTCTGGGAAACAGCCCACCTACCCCTCCCTTAAGCCAACATTTTGCTCTAAGTGTGAAGTAAGTGTAAATGTTGGCTTAGGAGAGGGGTAGGTGGGCAGTTTCCCAGAAACGTATAATTTAGGAAGCTCTCGTAACGGACACTCTCGTAAGCGGACAGCTCTACTTACGGCCGCCTTCACAAGACCCCGGTTCACTCAACCTCCATACAAACTCTGTATTTTTGCAATCTCGCCGTAAGCGGCCAGCTCCACGTACGGACACCTTTTTCACGTCCCAGGGGCGGATCTAGGGGGAGGGTGCAGAGGTTTTTACTTTCATAATGCATGAAATTAAATCTCAGCGAGCAGTCAACATTCAGTCAGTAAACTGTTACCCTCTGACGTCATAAATTAATGCTGCAATGTTGTCCGCTCAGAGACTTTAGGCGGGAAACATAATATTTGTGAGATGTCATGTGACCTCGTAGTAACCAATGAGAGCGCGCCTAGCTAGGGAAGAAACTTCAGCTTTATAACAATGGATTTTATTACAATTGTTTTCCTTGTAGGTGGTTGAGACTTTGTGCAAGAAGCGCCTATCAGGATCGTTATCCTGAAATAGTGCAGTTTATTACCATCCAAGGACGAATGAAGTTCATCAGACCATTGTACAAGTAAGCACTGCGCCCCTTGCGAATCGTTCATTATCCTTCTTGCGTACTTATTAGCATTTAGTTATGAGAAAGTCACCCTAGACGAGCAGGCTCGCTGGGAAAGACACATAAGTGCTACTAGAGTAAGCCGAAGGGGTGGGTGGGAGGGCGCAACTCGAACTAAAGTTAGTCGAAATTACAAGTGAAAAAAATTAACCCATGCTTGTATATTTACGCGAAGTAAAATGAATAATGATAAGGTATAAAAAGTGCGGTTTATGATGCATGACATCGTCGAATTTGAGAGCCTCCGTTGCCGTCTGTCCACACGAAAATGATGATCTGGCGTTTTCAAAGATCTCCACTCTGCGGATTGTTTTATTAATAAAAACCCTGTGTTTGTGATGCCTAAAAAAGGCTTTTTACACGTACACAGAAGGATAAAACAGGGCTCGAAAACATCCCGTCTGGTGGTCCAGGACAAGTAGCTTACTTGCCCAATGGGCAAGGCTCTCAGCAACTAACCTCTAACAAAGTCATTAACTAAGACGAGCAAGAAGTGGCCCCCAGCAAGCAAGATTGGAGAGCTGCATGGCCGAAGGACAAGCTGCAATTCAAGTTTTTTTCTCAAGCGATGGTTTCGGAGTCAGAGTCGTAAGTGGAGTCGTAAGAGAGCTTATGACCTAGTGAAAAATCAAAAATCGGAGTCGTAAGCGGAGTCATTAGAGCGATGGAATCGGAGTCATAACAATCAAAACATTTCCATTTCTCCCGACTCCGCTTACGACTCGGTCGCTTACGTTCCGCCTATAATCTAGTGAAAACCAGATTGTCGGAGTGGGAAGCAGGAGCGGAAGGATAAACCAATTACAATGCACGTTCCCACGCTCTGTGATTGGTTTAGTTCTTCCGCTTCAGCTTGCGACTCCGACGACCCAGTTTTCACTTGATCGTAAACGGCGGAGGCGTAAGCGGAATAAGAAGAATCAGAATGATGTTTTCACTAGATCGTAAAGTTTTACGCTTTCGATTACGACTCCAACCCCGATTCAGTCGCTAGTAAAAACCAGCCTTAAAACGGAGGAAAAAAATCTCCGTTTTCAAAAATATCCGGATTCTTGTGAACGGGGCCTAATTCTTCCTTTCTTAATTCCTTTAGGGAGTTGTATGCGCGTGAGGAGTCAAAGGATTTAGCTATAAAAACGTTTGAAAAACATCGAGATTTCTACCACCCTATTGCCGCAACACAAGTAGCAAAGGATCTCAACCTGGAATAAACGGATGAATAGTGAAAAGAAAGAGCGAGATAAACGAATGGGAAATGGACGACCAGACTATTTATTTGATTGACGTAGACGTGGACAGCGAATAGTTATAAGCCCTATTGAATGCTAGAAAAAATAGAAATCATGATCTGAAATTACAAGATGCTTCTTCTGGAGAGATTCTCAAGACATACGAGTTTAAACTAAATATAAAAAGAAAGATTGGAGCAAAATAGTTATTGATAGCCCACTTGTTCGTTTTAGTAAACCAAGAAACCAGGACATTGCCGCGCGTTTTAAGGAATATTTGCGACAAGGATGATTCGTACAGAGAGCGTGTATGAGTCTTTATGAGTATTTTTGTATTATGATAATGTCACGCTCGTCTCGTTCTTGGCCTCCAAAACGCTCGAACCGGTACCCTTGCTTAATCCACGATTCATCTAGTGGAGTTGACGAGCGAATAAATCCCCGTAAAAATTTAAAAAGTTTAAAAAATACTCCTTGTCTCTTTATCCCACTTTTCTACGTCCTTTTGCTGTGTTTTTAGGTTTGAGTCCCCCTTACGCTCTGAAAGAAGCTGTCACGAATTGTATCGAAGTACTAATAGTACGAACTACTACGAAACTGAGTAAAACTTTAAAATAAACGTTCAAGAACACTTGAATGAAAAGGCTCTATTTTATTGCAATCATAGCCGTCGCCCTCCCCCCCCCCTAACCCCACCTACCCTATTTCGTTTTTCTTCTAAGCTATCAATACCTTTTACTTACAAATAAAATCTAACAGCACTGAGATTCATTTTCGCCTGTATCGACCTGTAAATAACCCGTCAATAAACTCAAATGTGTTTACGGTTTTCTTAACTTTCTTTGACTGAGGTGGCATGCCACAGTTCCTGGAAAATCTGTCACAGTGAAATGACCGGACTGAGACTAAGAGACTCCCCAAGCAAAACCCTTGGGGATGAAGGAAAAGAAAAACAAATTGATTTTTAGCGGAGCACTCTCGCGCGCAGCGGAGCACCATGGGTAAGAAAATTTGGTTACCTACGCATCCGAGAAATAGGCCACTTCCGAGTTCCAATGAGGCCAAGTGCACAACCTTTCTTGTGAAAATGAGTTTCATTTGCATTAGAATGAAAAATCATTTCCATATCCAAGGCTGAGCACTTAACCTCGTTTTGATACAGAGGCCCGGGGGAACTCGGAAACGGCCTATTTTGGTAGTGACTTCTTGTCGCGTGACCGTGCGCTTGCCCGTCCATCCGCACCAAAGGCATACTAATGTTAAATAACTCATCAACAGGTATGGCAACCTGAATGTAACTCGAGTTTTCTTGGCGGGAAATCGCATAGCCACCCGCGTCTTGTGAAGCAGAGACAACTAAAGAGTCAATACAGACGAAAACGGATTGCGGAAATTGTTTCTGTATCCGTGTTGTCTAAAGTGTTAAGCTTAGATTAATTGTCATGTCCACAAATTGGGAATATAGAGAAAAAAAAAGGCAGAGAAAAAGAGAAACTAGGCTACAAGCCAGGGAAGCTCAACGAGAAAAAGAGCGACAGAGAGCCAGAACGAGAGATAAAAACAAGGGAGACAAACTTTGTTGAAAGAACAACATGAAAATTTTGTAGTGGCTGTGGGAAAATGAGAAATGAAAGAGGCCACTAAGGTGAAAATGAGCGGTAGTGAAAAGAAGGTGAACTAGAAGACGTACGACATTTCCTCCACAAAACGTGTAACCAGGAAGTTTCTGGAAGTTTCACGTTGAAGTCGTGCAAAACAACGGCAAAGAAATGTACAAAAAAATGTGCTGCACGGGCAAAGTTGTTCTTTTTTGGCTTTAACGTTAGACCTATTATTGTTTTTTCATCGTTCTCGTTGCCTTCGCCGCTTTGCATTACATGATTTTATATTTTGTTTGAGCAAACTATGAATATAAACAAGAACTTCGCTTTTAGTCCTGGCTAAATCTAGATATTAGGGATGAACAATCCCTTTCTTTTATTCTTTTGCCCAAAACCTTGGAGACAATTCTGAATTTGATATATCGAACTGGTTTATTCAAGGGTCATTTCGTTTCCCCGGGGTAAACCTACCAATGAAATCCGAGTTCTGGACGATTTTGCGGGTACAGTGCGTGATTATTTACAAAGAGCAAACAAAAAAAATGAGATTTATCAATAACTGACTTACTATGTAAAGGAACGTGAAGCATAAATGAAGATGTTCTTTTCGAACAGTGCTGTTTTCCACACTTTTTTTATCATTATTATTTTGTTTATTTATTTATTTTCTGGCATAAAAAATTGCTTTCTTTTGTTGATACGTGTTTATATATTGGCGCAGACAGTAGGAATGCCAAACCCGATAAAAAACTTCCTAGGCGACAAACAGAAAGCTATTGCCATACAGGAAGACATCAAGAGCAAATAACAAAGATTTCTGGCTTACCCAATGAAGCATAATCAACCTTTGTTTCTGTTGGGTTTACACGTGCAATGGTAAAAGCCAATCAGGAAGCACTATTCTAGTCACGAGGTACCTAGCGGCGCCAAATTTAAATTTTAAAGGTTTGTTGGCGAAGGAACATGCAAATTTACCACCAAATGTTGCCAACGATTCTGTGGACTCTAAGAAGAGAAAAGTTCTCCTTTACAATCTTCGTTGTCTCGCAGTAGTTTTTATCTGTTATACCAGAATGCTAAAAGTAATGTCATGATGGGATTACTCGACTGGCTGAATTTGAACCAGAAAGGTATGTGGAGGTTGCCTTTGAGAGTATAATTTACGTTCAGTTCAGTTGCAAAGCCGCGTACTCTTTATGCAAAGAGTGTCACAAAAATATGCTTTTTTGTAGCTTAACTTCCATATTTGTCAATACTGGTAATCTTGCTCATCGAGAAT